CTATAGGCCTATAGGACCAACTTTTGGACCTGTTGTTGCACTTCCCCGCAGCTATTTCAGGTCCTTTGTGGGGCTGCTTCCTGAAAGATCGCGCACTCACGGGTAACGAGCCCTCACGAAGCAACCGTGACTGCAAGACGTACTTCAAAACAGAGCTTTGGCGCAGGTTCGCACGCGTGGCGAGAACCACTTGCTTTTCTGTAAAGACAGCATGTGCACCAGGACCAGGAGCAGCTGCCAAGGGGAAGCTGCCCAAGAAGCAGAAAAATCAGGTCAACAGGGAAGGTGAAGAGCGGATGGCAGCCCCTTTTGTGATAGACAAATTTAGACTTTAGTAGACAGAGAACGAGAACCTGCCAAAATCGGACAATTGTTCAAAACATGGCCACTTTGCTGAATTGATGTGGATTTGTAGCATGTAGCTGCCGATCGGCTTCAAGATAATCACTTACAGCGATATTTCAGGACTGCGGCGAAAGCACAAGCACTGCGACCACGACCACGACGACCACCATGACCACCACAACCAGCTCTGCGTTGAAAGGCTCTGCTAGCAATATGATTTGCCGCGAGTCATATGGAGTTGGGTGGTGTGGCTCGTCCCATCCAGGGGCCGTGGATGATGGGCACCCCGTCTTCCTCGATCGCACCCCGTCTCAGAACTGCTGTGACTGCTGTGTCTGGAACAGGACCAGGTCCAAGTTCCACGTGGTGCCTCGATTTGGGGTGCATCCATCCAAAAACAGGATAGGGGTGTGTATAACCGAGAGACCTCCTTGGGATTTCTTTGCCCATGGGCCAGAACATGACACATGTATAGTGGTCCCCAAAGAAACGGTTTCCAACACATGTTGAAAGGCGTTTTTACATGTTCTATCTACATTTTGGGGTCTATATATCATTTACGTTCATAAACCGTATAGCCTGTTAAATCACAGCTAAATCATACCCATTTTCTCCGACACAGGTGTGCTCTCCCGACGTCAGGGGAGCTCTGCTATGCCAGCTTGGACGGCGTGGCTAGGGACGAAGGCCGCGGACTGGGACATTTGGAGCGGCTTGGCGGTCGCGGCACGGTGCAGTGGATCGGTGGGCGGTGGGAGATCGCATGAGGGTGCACTGCTTCCAATGATATCCATTTGATTCCAATTAAGGCAGAAGCCATGAGAAGCCTGGGGATCACGGATTTGCAGATGATCAAGTCGGAATCCCTGCCGCTGCACCCACAGTATCCACTGTGGCCTACATCTCACGGAGCGAAGAAGGTGGTGCCCCTACTTCCAAAAACAGGAACATTCATCAGCCTGGGGTTCCCTGCTGGATCCCCTGCTCTTGTTTTCCAGGGATTTTCAGGATCCTTTTCATCCTTCGACTCAAGAGTCGGCTCAATCTGTCGAACGCCTCGCCGAGGTCCACGTATCTCATCGAGTGCGAGCGCGCCTGCGACGCCACGGAGGGCTGTCGCTCCTTCGCGCGCTGTCCGGGCGCGCAGAGAGGGGCGGGCGGGGAAGGGGTGGCCATGGAGATGAGGCAGAATGGGTCGATCAGGGGCGTTCAAGGAACCAACTCAGCAACCCCAAAAGGGGTCAAAAGGGTGTGAGACCCTTTGTTCATTTGTTCAGTAGTGGGTTAAGGGCCTAAGGGATTTCCAGGTGGATGGCACAAATTTGCACAATCTCCAAGTCTGGTAGCCTAGTTAGTAGTGGACCCCAATCTCAAAGTCTTTTTGGCTGGGTCTCGAACCTCGCACGTCCGTCCAGCTAATTGCACCAGGCAACGACCATTCGCACCTGGAGCCTCAAAGTACCTCAGAAAATGGGTACAGTCGTACCTGTTTTTATAGGGCCATGGCGGCCATGTCCCATTTTTCTAGAGTACTGGGTCAGTCGGGTCCAGGTACTTTCACTCACCTCCAAACCCATCTTCAAAAGGTCAAAAGGAGGTACCTGGACCCCATGGCCCGGAATGGGGCTCAGTTCCTCGAGTTCGCCCAGTTCACTCTCCACACGCGGGGCACGGGGCACGTGAGTCACGGTGCTTTGGAAGGGGTTGGAAGGGGTGGAAGGAGCGAAACCAGAAGGGGAAAGACACACGCATATGATCACGAGATGTATTTGTGTTCTTGATGCGTCAGGAAGAATGTCCTGGGATGGCTGCCAGTGCGCTTTATGGATCTAACTCCTTCAGAATGCATACTCGTACGAGATCCTGGACAATCCTGGACATGTGAAATCCATTTCTACCAGGACCGACACCAAGAGGTGTCTATAAATACCCTACTCTTAGAGGTGAGTCGAGGTGTCCAAAAACCCACCAGGACTTGGTGTTTCGGTCCTGGTATAGATCCATTTTCATTCCCTGCCCCACGTCTCACCGGTGCCACGTCTCCCAGGCCCCCGCTGGGGCAAGTGCTTCTTCAAGGATCGGCCGCTGGTTGTTCAAACGGGGAAACGCCACGGACCGTGGAGCTGGTGGACCGGGAAGGGTGACCGGACCGGACGAGGAAGGTCTTCCGCACCTGGTCCGGCCATGGTTCATATATCGCATGACACTCCATGGGCTTGTCATAGATGCCTACATTAACTGACCCCTCAAACCACCCAAATTGTAGGTAAATATATACCAGTCCCATGGAGTGTCTGGGTATAGTCACCGGGTAGTGCCGTGCGACGCCGGGGGGTCGGGTCGGGCCACGGTCAAGGAGAGCTGCGGTCAGCAAGGAGAGCTGCTTTTGAGGTCTCTTCCCAATGCCTCTCGCCCCAATGCATGCCATAAAGATTATGAATGATAGGGGGATATAGGGGGTACCCAGTGGGGTACTCCCTGAAAAAGAGGTGGGATTATTCCAATACAGCTTAGAAAGAACCGACCAACATTGACCAATAGTTATAAGTGACTATAGTTATAAGTTACTAGTGACTAGTGACTATAGTTATAAGTTATGACTGATCTATTTTAGGGGCCCCATTATAACACTTCTATTCCGACAAGGGGGGGGTACTCTACCATGATGATTAATAAATAATATCACATGTTGTTTTGTCAACGCCCTTTCTTTCCATCCAGGCATTCCATGTCAACCCCCCCATCTAGGAGTTAATGCTTTATCAAGGATTGTTCATGTTTGCTCATGTCTTTGGTCACTGAGATCCCCACTCTCGATCCCCACAGAAACATCGGAAGCCGCATCGGAAGCCCGCGAAACCGTTCGCTGCCCATGCGGACTGAGAGTCGAAGAGATCTTGCCGACTCGGACGGCCCGTCGCGACACATGTCCATTGCGCTGTATATGAACCCGTTTGACCTGTGTTTTGGATCTGAAAAGACATGGTTTTGGGCTCCAAAAACAGGTGTCAATCAGGTTCGTTTGGTAGTTACAGATGTTGATTGACATGTCGCAAGAACACTTCCCGCAAACAAAGCTGCGATTCTTTTTTCAGGGTTCGGTGCAGAGGAGA